GAAAGAAGCCAGACACAAAAGAGCATCGGAGGTATGGTTCCATTGATTTGAAATTCTAGAAGAGGCAAAAATAAAATACGAGGGGTACCCAAAAACAACCCAGAGCACTGTCCTTGTAAGCTGTGTCCAACATCACAACAGTTTTTGTGGCATTTTTCCGTTCTCTTAAATTGGCCATCACAAAGAAATGAGCTTCCAGCGAAACTGCTTTTAAGAAGAAATCCACTGTGACCAGAGAGAACCTTCCCAGGTGACGCCACTGGGTGAACGAACTCAGAGCGAGTTGCTGGATGTTCACTTAGTGGGCAAAAGTGTGTCCTACGAAAGTTCTGCCCAGAGGAGCTTTTTTCCATTTGGGGGGTGGTGGGGGACAGATAGCTGGTCAGTGCTTGCCTGTGGCCAGGGTTAGAATTCCTTAACTCCAAAGGAATTTTGATTGAAGTGGTGCTTACATGCAGGCATAAACATCTCCTCAACATCATTTGGATTATATGCTCAAGACATGGATGTATTTTTTATTGTATGTCAAGTGCTCCCCAGTAAAGCTGGTTTAAAAAAACTTTTAAAAAAAAGCTATAGCACACATCCATGTACACTTTGCTTGGACTGAGAAATGTTCAACATTGTCATTTGCCTCTTCTTTTTGCCATAGGAAACAGTACAAACAAAGCGAATTCTCTGTTGCTCTCCGAACTGTTCTCCAACTACCCCCACTGGCAAGCACGTTCATCAGGCTGTTGTACCCTCCCTGCCCATTGAGACCATCTTTTCACAGCCACCTTCCTTTTGTTGACGAGGGTGCCAGCCACAGTTAAGCAGTGAGCCAGGGAGCAGGCAGCGGTAATGATGTTCAGTCAGTCTTCTGCTCATTCCCCAGGGCTGTGTTACCTACCCTGTGTTTGAGAAGCTGCTAAAGTAATTTATGTAATTATGAGGGTGTTTAGACTGCTCTTTACCCTCATTTTTAAACATGACACACAACTTGGCACAAATGGGAATTTGGGGTGTTTATGATGTGCCCCCAAGGTTTAAAATTGGCTGCTCATAAACTTCCAGGACCGATATTAATGTGGTTTTTACAATATGGCTATTTGATACCAGTGCTTTGTTTAATTTTTAATTGCAAGAACAGCAGAATACAGATATTTTATATATTTCCCTCTCATTTGCCATATAGATTTCTAGGCTATTTTCAAAGCAACTTAACAGCATTGAGTCTCAATTCTTTGAAGCTTAAGCAGCTGCCTGGATTTGACTTTCCCTCCTCATATGTCCCTGGGGAAACAAGTGGGCTGCTAATGGAAAGGTTGGTCCTTAGAAACTACCAGCTGCTCAAGGGAGAAAAATGAGGCAGCCTTTTTTTTTTTTTTTTTAAAGATTCACAGCCTCAAAGACACTATGGGGTAGTTATATTTTACTCGATAGGGTCATTAGAAGTCAGAATGACTCAAAGCAGTGGAGTGGATCAAGCAACAAGAGAGGCTGATTGGACAGTCCTTGACCCTTTTTTTTTTTGGCTTCTCCCCTCCTCATGGTAAGGAGCCCTGCCTGGTGCCTAGCACAGTGGGTCAACCATCAGGTGCTAGGCTCGAGGGGGGAGTTTGAACCCACCAAGTGATCCTCAGGAGGAAGACGAGGCAGTTTGCTCTTGGGAAGGTTTACAGCTCCGGGAGCTCAGCGAGGCAGCTCCACCGCGTCGTCGCGTGCTGTTCCGAGTTGGAATCTGCTCGGTGGCAGTGAGCTTGGCTTTCTGATTGTACAGGGTTATGGGTCATACCCAGCTTCATGGCAGGGGCTTGGTTCCTTGTGGCTCGCCTGAGAGATTGTACCAAGTGTTCTCCCTCAGCTCTGTTTATATTTCTAGGTCTGACAGAGAGAGAGGAAGGAAGAGCTCGACTGGTTCTAAGTATGTTCTGCCAATGAAGCCATCAATTTCCTTCTGTAATCTTCTTTTGGTTGGAAAGTCACAGACGGAAGACGGCCAATTCTGCTTTTCACTCGCCTTGTGTCTCTCAGTTGGTGTCTCCCTCTTGTTTAGCAACACACGTTCTGATTAGGAAAAGAATACACAAAAATAATGCCTCTCTTTATGGTAGAAGCAACAAGAGCAGCCCAGTTCTGAAATGAAGCTTAAATTCACAGTGGGATCTAGAGCCCCCTCCCCCCTTATTTTCTTTCAGGATCTGAAAGCTACACTTTCATTTGGTAGAGTGGTTTTGACATGCCTTCAGTTCTTATTGGCTATTGTCTTGTCTATCATAGTGGAGGCTAAGTCTGCTGCCAAGAGCAAGTTCCATGTCATCACACTGATTGTGGTGTCATTAAAGCCTTATTTGGGGATGGCACTGCTGGATTATAAATGTTCCTTAACCAGTGATGCAACCCTGCTGTCAACAACTGATGAGCCATGTCATGGGGCACTTGTTGGACGACTTGGTGACTCGTACAGGGTGTATGGGGGAAGGGAATCTTTTGTTGTTGTTCCAGAAGACTCAGGTCTCTAGAGAGAAGTGCACTATTGTGAGAATGGGGAGGTCAGGGATTCTACAGATTCACAGCTCACACTGGAAGAGACAGAAATGTACTGAACTCTCTTTGGCTTCTGTATAAAGAGGAACATATACTGAAGTTTGAGGGGAGGTGGCCTGAAAATTCTACTTTGGACTGTTTAATGGCAGCATTTAGCTCAGGGAATGTCTCAGGCCACAGGCAGAGACAACATCCTCATTAGCTGAGTAAGGGTGTGAGCATTTTGAGGAAAGGAAGTCTGGGTTATCGTGGTGAGCGTCAAGAATTGGCAGCAATCATCCAGGAATGGGGTCAAGGTTCCAACCCTGAATCACATGGGGTATAAAACTCTGGCAGGAAAATGATCAGGCTTTCAAGACAGGCGGGTGGACTTTTCCTCGTAGAGTAAAGCCTCCTATTTTGTGAAGCAAACTCCTGAAGCAGAAGGAATGCGGGAAAGATTGGAGATCTTTGATGAGACTTTTTATTGTCTTCTTGTTTACAAATGAACCCAAACCTACTGGCATCAAGTCTATTCGGACTCATAGTGATCCTGTGTAGAACCTCATTTTTTCCTCCCACAGAGCAGCTGGTGGGTTTGAACTGATGATCTTGCAGTTCACAGCCCAACAGGTATCCCATAGCATCACCAACGTTTTCTCTTATTGAGCCAGAGAATCTTGTTTTTTACTCATTTTTGATCTATGTGAGTTGGAACACCGTCTCTAATCTCCCATGGAAGGCTTGTATTTTTCAATTCAATCTTTAAAAGTTTTATGGAAACATGCCATTGAGGAGTCATGGTGACACAATGGTGGAGGGCTGGGCTGCTAATGCAATGCTTCTGGTTCAGACCCACTTATAAACTTGACAGTTGGCTTCATGGAAGGCACATCATTCTACTCCTGGAAAGATTACAGCTTAGGAAACCATAGTTCAGTTCCACTTTGTCATCTAGAGTTGTTATGAGTTGGAAATGACTCAACGGCACATAACATGTTATTATTGCTAGGTCTTCTATGAGGTAGTCATTCTATGAATAAGTTAAATGAAACACAACACAAATATTTTTCTCTTAAAGGGAATTATTTTAAATCTAGTCTTTATAATGCATACCAACTTTACCTTTTCAAAGCATAGGTTCTGAAATACTAGTATTAAGATCATCTTATTCTTTGTGCTTTCAGTAACTTTAATCACTAGTTAGAATTTTGCAGGACGATGAGTCTTTCTCCCACTGTCAGACTCCTGCTCAGATAGGAGATCTGGGAAACTTTTCTAGCATCCTACTTTTTCTTTTATTGTGGTCCAGGTGGAATCCACCAGCTGTTCCCCGGCAAAAAGAGGAGACTTTCTATTCCCGCTTAGTCTTGGAAACCCACAGGGGTAGTTTTGCTCTGTCGCATAGGATAATTATGAATTGGGATCAACTTGATAACAGTGAGAGAGTGGTTCAACGGAAAGACAAGAAAACTAATTTCAAGTTGCCATGAGCATAGGATTTCTGTAAGGCCTATAGATTTCCTTTAATCAACAATAGTTTTGGGAGTTAAATTCCTCCTAACACTTGATGTGAAGGAAACTTTTTTCCCTATGTAGACCCAACTCCTATACTTCCTTTTTCTTTTATATGATGTAACCAAACCTGTTCTTAGTTTTTTTAGAAATTAGATTTAAGCTTAAAGCTCACGTGTCCAAAATAATTAAATCTAGGTAAATGGGCACTGGTATTTAAGGCATAACTCATTCGTCTCTGATCTGCCATTATATTAAAGATCAGTCTGAATTATATTTCTTTAAAATGATTGCGGCAGTTCATCCTTTTTAGAAGCAATAGGGCACAGATAATGACAGCATGCAAAAGGGTAAGAGTTGGCTAATACGGTCCGATTTATTTCCCCAACTTTATGTTGCCATCCCCAATTTTGACGCCCAATTTTATGTTGCCATCCGTAGAAAAACACGCTCCAGAGGACTACATCCTTACATTTTGGCTTTCGCCCAAGGAGTGTAAACCCGTATCCACAGGGAAAAGCGTCTGCAAGCCGGGGAAATCCTGACCTCTTCTGCTCTAAACGGTTTCCCTTCTTGGTGGGAGGAGGAAAAAAAAAGGGGGGTGCGGATTTGTGCGAGTGCCAGCGAACCGTTTTTTTCGCTAGGTCCTTTGAAGCCCAGGACAGGTTTTGGTGGAGTCCGTGAACGAACCACAACTCCCAAGATGCACCAGGATCCAGGGCGGTCAGAGGGGTAGCTTCCGGTCTAGGGCAGCGCGGTTGCGCACGGGGTGTGGTCTTATTGGCTCAAGCCGCCTCGTGCGATATGCGTCAAGGCGACGTGCGGTCGTGGGGCGGGGAGACGCGGCGGCGGCGGCGGCGGTCGCGGCGGCGCGAGCGCGAGCTCATATGCAGTATCGCGGCGGCGGCAGCGGCGACAGCTCCACCGGGTTGGGCCCCCTCCCTCCTCCGTTCCCCCCCTCCTCCCCCCTCCCCCAGCCGTGGCTCTTGAGGCGCCTGAGGCGGGCGGCGAGGCGGCGACGAGTTCCGGGTGAGGGTCTCTGGGGTGTGAGCGGCGTTTCGCGGGCGAAGCGAAGGAGAGCTCTGGACGGAGAGGTGAGAGCCGAGGTTGCCAGTGTCTCCCATCGCGGGCCGGAGGGCGCGCGCGTAACAGCTCTCTACTCGGCTCCAAAACCCTGACCCGCGCTCCCACGCAGTGCGGTGGCTCGAGGGGTCGTCTTCTAGGGCCCTGGATCCCCCCCACCCAACCCCCTTCACCCTCTTCACTGGGGCTCGACGCCCAGCGCCCGCTTCGCCCCTCCCGCCAAGGGTCGGAGTCCGGCGCGCGCTCTCAGCGCCCGCACCTTCGGGTGCACTTGTCCTCTTTCCTCCCGCGCTCATTTCCTCTGGCCACTTCCAGGAATTCCTCTGGTGACAGGCTTTTGGGGTGGTTTGCCTGGCACTACTTTTACAGCGAGTCGGGTAGGAGGAGGAGGCTCCGTGTCTCGCAGGTGGCGCGACCCCCGCCCTCCTTGGACAGAACCCTAGGCAGTGTGTACCCAAGCCCTCTGGCTTTTCGTCTGTCGTTGCAATTGGGAGATACTAACAGTGTTATCAGTTTTTTAGAGGGTCTCTGAGGGCAGTCCAGTTGGGCACTAGTTTCGTAGATACGTAAAAGACAACAAAAAGCCCTGCTAGCTTTCGACGCTGTCGAGACGCTAGCCTTTGGAACTTGACAACTTCCGAGATGGTCCAATAGGGAGTTTGAGTAAAAGGATCCCAGTGTGTGTATATGGTAACTTCATGGCAAGTTGTTGGCCTATTTTCAGTAGAATGGCCTTTTAGTGCTTTGTTTTTTGACTCTTGATTTCCCAGCCCTCTGCTATTATCCCCATCCCCAAACAATCCTTTCTCCTCTTCCGCCCAGGAAACCGGGGTAAAACTGCAGGAAATCTTGCCATGACTGTAAAATCATTTGATGTGAACCTTCTCGATGAAACTATTAAGAATTCTTTTCAATCCCAAGCTTTAGTTTTTGTCAGTTCTTGAGGAAGTAGTCCATTAATGTTTTGCCCCATCTCTCAGATTTGCCCTGGGAGTGCTGATTATGGTGCTCTGTAACTCAAAACCTCATCATTAGGTGAGGCTCAGAAGACGTGGTGGCAGTGGCTTGGTGGGGAGGTAACAGAATTGAGGCATTTTTCAAATTTTAATGGGAAAGGCAGATAGATTTCTTTTTGCCTCTTTGTGTAATTATCTACTAATCAGTTTGTGCCCCTATCTAGACTTGAGCTACTCTACTGATGTTCTTGTCTTGCTGGGGCACTAAGGATGAGAGTAGGATTTCCCAAGACTAGGAAGTTTGTGTTTTTCTATCCCTAGGCTCATTGTACTTATAAATGAGGACATTTGTCACAATCCAGTGGTATCACTTTAGTGTATTGATTCTGTGCTGCAAATTTTGTTTTCCATAATGAAAATAATTTTGCTGTATTGTTTATTTCAGAGGTTGGCAAAACAACAGCCTGCAAACCTAGTTCTGCTAGCTGCTTCCTTTTGTAAATAACGTTTTTATTGCAACATAGATCTATTGCATTGGTTTAGATATCTGTGGTTGCTTTTGTGGTACGACGGCAGGGCAGAGACCCATATGGCCCTTGAAACTTTAAAATAATTAGTCTCTGTTCCCTTAATAAGGAACCCTGGTGGCACTGTCCGTAAGAATTAGACCAGGGGTCCTTAAACTACTGCCCGGGGCCGGCCCGCTGAGGACATTTATCCCACCCGCCAGATGTTTTTGCCCCGTTTTGTTTTTAACTTCAAAATAAGATGTGCAGTGTGCATAGGAATTTGTTCATAGTTTTTTTTTAAACTCTAGTCCAGCCCTACGGGTCTGAGGGACAGTGAGCTGGCCCCCTGTTTAAAAAGTTTGAGGACCCCTGAATTAGACTGTTACCGACAAATTGGCGGTTCAAACCCACCAGCCATTGCTCCGTTAAGAGTTAAAACCTTAGAAACACTACACAGGATCTCCAGGAGGTGAACTGACTTGATGGCAGTGGGTTTTTGGTTTCTTCTTAATAAAAGCTTGTCGTCCCTTTCTTTATTTTACTGCAAAAAATTATTGCCAAAAGTTAGAATGAGTCAGAAAATTATAACATACATATATTTATCCAGAATCTCACCACTTAAAGGGGTTTGCTTTGGGGATTTTAGATTATCTATGGTGATAATCTTTATGTAAATGGCTAATGTGTGAGTTTATAATCTGCATTAAAAGTATAAAATTATCTTTATTTGGCTTTTGAATGCATTTCTACACTTTTTCCTTTGCCATATGTGTGAAATTAACTTGTATGTCACTTATGAATCCAAGTTGACATCACTTTTACTTTTCCTTTTTTGCCACTCAGACCAATATTCAGATCTGAGGGGTAAGAAATCTGGAGGGTTTCCCCCTCCCCTGACTCAGCAGTTTTACTGGGATATAATCCACATGCCATATGCAATTCCAATAGTTTAGTCACATCAGGAAGAGTTGTTACAGTCATCACCACAGTCAGTTTTAGAACATTTTCTTCATTTTTGTGCTCATCAGTAGCTCCCCATTTTCCTCCAACCTCCCCTCCCCTCCCCACAAGGAACCATTAATCCATTTGCTGTCTCTATAGATTTACCTATTGTGGATTTCATATGCAGGAAAACATTACAAAAGAAACAAATGAAAGAATAACAAAGTAAAACAGATAAAAACCTCAACTAGAAAGAAAGAAAATATTAAAAGAACAAATTTTAATGGGTCATAAGGGAGGTCGAATGATAAGGTGCTAGATTTTAACCTATCTACAATAATCCACTGCATTTTGCATGTTAGCAAGGCTCTTCCTATCCCTGGACCAGAGTCAGAGGGGATTTGCCAGGAGCTTACTGCACGTGTATAGTCCTTTACTCCCCAACCCCACTCCTTTAAACCGAAAGAGCTTTAAAACGGGTCTAAGGGGAGATAAAATTAGACAACTTTACATTTTGACCTCACTGCATCTGACACCATAATGGTCTGTGATGACATAATGGTCTGTGATGACATAATGGTCTGTGATGACAGGGCTATTACATCCCTCAACTATAATCAGAGAGGATTCACTGACACCTGCAAGTGGATTTTGGGCTTCCACTGTCATGCAGGGGTCCTCAAACTTTTTAAACGGGGCCAGTTCACTGTCCCTCAGACCCGTTGGAGGGCCGGACTATAGTTTAAAAAAAACTATGAACAAATTCCTATGCACACTGCACATATCTTAATTTGAAGTAAAAAAACGGGGCAAAAACATCCGGCAGGCAGGATAAATGTCCTCGGCGGGCCGCATGTGGCCCACGGGCCATAGTTTGAGGACACTTGTTCTATAGCTTCTATAAACCAGGTGTTTACAATTTAAGCTCTGATGCCTTTCCTTCCTTTAAATTTGCGTCATCATTTATAATCTTTGGATCACACAGACCAGAGCGATCTTCAGTGTGGACTTAGCTGGCTGCTACGTCTACTTCCGTCCTGCTTAGATGGCTGCTTGTTTTAAAGCAAGCCTTTAAGACCCCAAACACTATTCTTTCTGTTAGTGGGGCACCATACAGTTTCGTCACCATGCTTTTCTATGGTTATCTTCAGGGATCTTTTCATGAAGTTGAGCATCAAGCATGGCCATGTCATAGAATTGTTCTTTGCAGCTAGAATTAAATATGCAAGCCCCAATTCTTTTCATGCATCTATGGTTCATGTGTGTCTTTGGTTCACCTTAGAGACATCATTTGTCATTTTATTAGAGAACATCATCAACCAGTCCCCGGGGGCATCACTTCCACTGCCATGAAGTCAATGCTGAGTTATAGCAGCTCTACAGGACAGGATAGAACTACCTCCATGGAGAGCGTTAATGCTGTGAGCTTTCATTCTGGTTCTTTAGAATTTATTTTGGTGTGAACGTGGCTCTCTTTTTTCTTCTTCCCCACCCACCCATCCTTCCTCCCTCTAGCATTCTATCCCTTCCCTTTCCCTGCCTCGATGCTTGACCCCGTCTGTCCCTGGTCCTTCAAGGTCTTCAGAGTCTTATCTTCTGGTGTAATGCATTTGCATTCTCTATTGTAGATCTTACTAGGAAACCAGGAGGGGCTTGGTGAAAAAGGGACTTGCTTTACCAGTCAAGATTTTTTAAAAAATGTTGTTCATGGTCAACATTTACTGAGCACTTGTTTTGTACTAGGTAATTTCCCAATACTTTTTACATGTATTTATTTACTCACCATCGCATCTCTGTGGGTGTATGCTGTTATCATCCTAATTTTACAAATGAGGAAGCAGGCACAAAAAACTTTACTGCTCATGTTTTATGAGTAATAAGTGCTGGAACTGAGAATTAAATCCATATTGTCTGATCTCAGAACCTAAGCTCTTAACAATATACTGTAGAGCCTTTCCTCACGAAGTTTAGATAGTCTAGCGATAGAGAAGGTAGAAATACCCTTTCATGGCCTTTTTCCAGTTTTACTCTTTGTTAACTATTGTTACTAGTTTAATACAGATTTTTATAGCTCTATGCAGATACAAATATTTGTTGCACATCCATGTATGCATTTTTCCTCTTTAAAAGATGTCAAACTAATAATTGTTCAATAGCATATGTTTTTGCTGTTTTCAAAACATAGTACTTATAGACTTTAATGTAATAAATACTCTTCTGTTTCTTTAAAACTTTGTTAAATTACGTGAAGGTTTACAGAGCAGATCATAGTTCTTTTGTAAACAATTTTCACAGTTATGACACTAGTTTAGCATCCTCAGAAGACTTTGCTTGGGAGTTACTCTTTTCCTCTTTAAAAGTGTATTTTCTGAAGAAATGTTTACTTTCTACTGGACAGTCATGCTATGTTGTGTCATACAGTTCTAGTTTTTTCTTTATTTGTGGAACTGGAAAAGGGGTTCTTCACACATGAATTTCTATTTCTTGAGACTGTAATTGCTAGTCTGTCTTTTTTTCTTTTGGTCCAGAAGAGAAAGTAACTCACTCATGGGATCTTTAACACTGTCTGTTGGAATATATTTCCTCTTTTGGACTGCACAGAGG